TTTTTAATAGTCAATTGGGGATTCAAGTTCTTAATGATTTCATTTCGATTCATTTCAATATATTTGTGATAAAATTGCATATTTACATTTCTTCGATTAGTGAAATTTCGAAATTAGGGTTTCCAATTTCGAAATTAGGGTTTTCTTTGCAATTAGGGTTTCAAATTGGGGATTTCTTCCAAAATTAGGACTTTTCACATTTAAACCAAATTTTCATTCAATTAGATTCGGTTAAAGTCACATTAGTCTAATTAGAGCTAATTCAATCCTCGTGGGAACGATACTTGGACTCATAATCCATTTTACTACTTGTTAATGAACCGTACACTTGCGGTGAGTTTTAAAATCGAAAAGAAATATTTTGTGAACAGAAGGTAGGGATGAAATTTCCACTACAATGAACGTGGAAATTTTGCTATCCACTATACTTGGGAATTCCAAACTAAGCAATGGGCTTCTAATTTTTTCACGTGCCTTCCACATGGTTGATAGTTCCTCTTTTGTGTGTGAGCGAGAGTGTGTGCGCCTGAAATTGACACGTGCGTAGTCATGACAATTTTTTTCGTCTCGAATCTTATAATTTTATTTATTTATTTATACTTTTTTATTTAATTGAAATCATATTTAAAAAGATAATAAAATAAATAAATAATTAAACGATATTTTTGTCCCGTCTCCCTTCTTTGACTTGTTTGATATATTGTCCTTCAATAAATTTTCGACATCTCAACATATCACTTCTTAACAAATAAGTAAATATAAGATGTAATCTAACGCACCTAGGAGATAAAAGCTTCGAGGTTTTGAAAGGTATCGTGAGGATATCAAATCTAGACTTGTGTGTGGCTGTGAAAGAGGGAGAAAAGAATGTGTGAATATGGTTCTTAAGTGGTGTCTTTTTTAAATGAACTTTCTTAATTTCCTTTTAGTTAACTAGTTATTTATATTAGTTCACTTTATAAAATGTTCATTAAAATCACGATAATTGCTAGTAACAAAAAATTCATCTAGTGGTGTAAAAATAGGCGGTGTACATTTTGGATCATGTCAAGTACTATGAATCTCTCAACATTACACCTTTATTTTCTTTAGTAAGAACTCGATGCTACGAAAGATCGAGAGCAAACTCGATTATCAAGAAAATCTAGTCTAGAGTAAAGTATTGTTTCAAGTAATGTTACCATGTCAGAGACTTCAAGCTAAAGTTTACAGTCTGTGTTAAAAATAAATAGCATTAAAATAAAAGGCTCGCAAAGCCGTTAAGAGTGATTATAAGTATATATTTTTTAAAGAAAAGTTGCAATATTAAAGTTCTCAAAACAAGTTTATCTTCAATTGTTTTCAACAACCAATGCAGTAATAGTGACAACAAAAGCGGTAATCAAGTTAATTAATTAAATATTTGTCAGTAAATAATAATTTTAAATTCTTGATTTTCTATGATCAGTCAATGTGACGTCATTGCTGTCAGTTTTGCAGCAGGAAAACAGTTTTTTACTCGAGCCCTGCTCCCTGTCCCGGCTTATGGACAGGGGCTGGTCGGTGCCCCTATTGAAGGGGCGCCACTGTCTTCAACCCTGCCCGGATTCAGGACAGGGGGGCTTTAACCTTTTTACTCAGTAATTGTAATTGTATGGTTTTAATTATTGAATAAAATAACTTTGTTGGTCCCATAAACTTGCCTAGGTTTACATTCCTTTTGCTACCACGCCGACTCTTATATTTCAGTGAGAAAAGCACATTGTCCAATGCAAACCCCTATGGTGCTATCATAATTTTGGCTCGATGATAATAAAAATAAAGTCACTTGTCCACAATTAAAAATAAGGAAATAAAGAGACAGAATGATATATCATAAAATGATTGAATGTTCTAGTTTTAATTTTTCAAATTGTCCAATCATTCGTCAACACGTATCCCATCTAAATTTGAATCTGAATTTGTAGCATGATTGTTATAATAAGAGTCCAATAATTTTGAACATGCTTAAATAATTTGTTTAGTAAAAATAACTTTTAGAGGAAACTGGCTCTTTCAAATAGCATGTAATATAAATCCTTTCATCCAGGATAACCACGTTCCTTCAAAATGAAAGGAAAATCCAAGAACTATGCTTATTAACCTAAACAAAAGCAGTGTGTTCAAAACAGAAAATACCTTATATAATCAATACGGGTTCGACTTAGACGATAAGTACAAAACTCAGACAGCTTTTTGTACAAGGTCATTTGCATAGACATAAATACTAGAAACCTGCTTGGTGTACAGGTAGAAGTTCACATAAAGGATGAGTGGGTTGATTTTTGACCATTTTTTATTCAGTAGGGGCCCACACTTTTGTGAGTTATCTGGCCAGGTTCACAGAACCCAGGTGTGAACCCAGCCTCTGTACACGAGGATTTTTTCTAAATACTCTGCCCATTAGTGATTAGTTGACAATAACCAGGAAGGAATAGGAATTCAATCCAGTAACAGGCAGACTGTCAAAGCACACAAAAATCAGTAGTTTCAAATGGCTACACTTCCATCGGGAAGCCATTAAAAGCAATTAAAGTATACGAGAAGAACATTTAGTTCGCTAATAAACACAAAAAATAGAATACGAGAAATTCAAAAAGAAACCAAGGTTTTTTTCAAGATGACTTCACTAATTCGTTCCATTCTCAGGACTCAATTCTTCATAGGAGACTAAACCCCTTCGACCACCAGGGGAGCTGGATCTGGATCTGGAACTGCCCGGCGAAGCAGATGCCTTTTTTCGTAGACGCTTATCAGGACTTCCAGATATGGACGAATCACAGCTCCTAGACCGTGAAAGAGATCTACCTCTATTTTGAGGGATTTGGTCATTCACTTTTGGCCCAAGACGCGATTTTAGTCTATCACTAATTGCAGGGCGCCTATCTGTCGGGCTGGGACTTCGCACAGGGCTCCTGCTACGACGTGTTCTCCGGGCACGGTAAGGACCTGGGCTTCGGGAACAACTCCTACTAGCACTTCTTTTGCGTTCATATCTAAAGCACAAAACAATAACTCTTATACCATTGCATGAATTTAAAGTCTAATTAGGAAAGAGATGCTGTGCCAGCAAAAATGTTCGATCATCTGCTTAAAAAAAGGAAGAAGATACTTTTAAAGTTACTTTTTAGTTTTCAAAGTATTTTTGAATAACTTAATTCTTTCTTTAAAGTAAAAAATAGAACTCTCAACTTATTGTCAGAATAAGTACCTCACACTTAAATAAGCTATTTATTTACAAAACTTAATTACTTATAAGAAAGCATTTTAAGCTCACTCATAATCATACACAACCAAATTGATGAGATCTGTACAAGCTGCGCACTGAAGGTCAAAATACATGCATGCAGGGAAACAAACGTGCATTCTACCCTTCAGAATTTAATTCGCAAACAGAGCAGCATGTACAGGAGAGAGAAACACATACACACAGGCATTCGGATATGTCATGTGTGTGTACCGAGAGAGAGATAGAGAGACCTGGGTGGGCTCCTGTCTCTTCTTGGTGAGCTTCTGTATCGTCTTTGTGGCGAACGTTCAAACTTACTTCTGTAGCTCGAATACCTAAAAAGTCACAATTAGCAAACCATTCTATACATCATCCCCTCAATTAGACATCATTTCCATTCAGATGTAGATCACAGTTGGTTTGTAAACAATGATTTTAGCCCATGCTGAGCAATCCTAATTCCAACAAAGCCCCACCCTTTAGACAACTGATTGATAGATCAACATCGATCAACAAAGTCAGGAGGGGGTCGAGATTTTTAAGCCCAGACCTCTATCTTTCTTGTGATTGGAACATAGAGGAATAGAACAAAAAGGGGAAGTTAGGCAGGTTCACGTAATTTACCAGAGTCAGGTGACAATGCTTTCTAAAGAAACAAAACAAAGAAGTGAATTTTACAGGGAGGAAGATTCAAACAGTCCAAACTTGATCAATACCGACTCGTGACAAAGAGAGACAAATGTCATTAGCAAAAATACTAAAAACGGTTTCAAATAAAAGTATTATTTTCTAAAATATTAGGGCTGAAAGGAACAAGAAAGCTCAACTTGAAGTTCTAAAAATTTAGTCATTAATTTCAAATGATAAATTATTAGGAATGGGCAACACCAGAAGCTCATGGTTGCGAGATGAAAGGTTCCAGGATGGCAGCAGCCAAAACAGAGAACACAAGTCGCAATTTTACACTGCTGTTTTTCATATCTGATTTCCTTTTTAAAAGTGGCAGATAGAAGTGTGTCTGACATCATATAAATTTTATCCAATTCTCAAAATTTGGCAGACGTGTTGTACAATGTTCTAAGCAAGAGCTGCTAAGTGAAGGCACATATTTAGCTATTGACACATAACAAACCACCCTTTGGATCAGTCATCGAGAAAGTACCTGTCATTCCTTCGAATGTTTCTTCCTCCATATGGATAAGATCTATCCATTGAACGTTCTGGAGATGGTGTGCGATAGCGTCTAACAAAGGCATATCGTTCAGTAAAGCCTCGCCCTTTCCTAACACGCTTTGGAGTTCCATTTGGAGAACAGCTTCTAGACAAATCCTGACCACGACTAGAAGTGGATGGTGGTGGAGCTTTATGCACAGGACTCCTTGAAGGACTTTTACTGCTTCGCTTACCAGACGATCTAGGATTTTTACTGTTATTTTCAAGTCTGGGAACTGTTCTCTCTGGGCTTCTGCTCGGGGTGCTCTGATGACTGGAAGTTGGCCTTCCTCTAGGTTTCAGCCTCCTGTTACTTAAAAATGTAACAAGATATTTCAGAGCAGCAAAAATATGGGTGATATGACATTATTAAGCATGAAATAAAGAAGCAATAATTGGACGGAAATAAAAATGATATATAAACCAACTGCTGGTGCAGATGTAAGAGCAAAAAGTATTAAATAGTGAAGACCTGGATCTGTTAAAATGGTCAGATTGATCAACATGCTTGGCAGCTTCATTAGCCTTGAACTCTTTTTCATGACCATTATTCAGTGTATCATCATTCTTTGGAGAAAATTCACCCTCTTCATGAGATGAGCTGCCAACTGTCAGCTTCAGTTCATCATCATTTTTCTTCTCTGCGAAGGCTTGTCCTAACAGAGGGGTGGGTGATTTTTTCTCTGATCCTGTAAATTTCCAGTTATGAGATGGTGAGTAAGGGTAAAAATTAAATATTTGGTCATTTCTTGAAATTTATTCAAGTCGAGAAAGTAAAAATGATGACTATAGAGATCATTCAATAGAGTTTAGAAAGATAAGATACCTAGACTTTGTGCTGGCTTCCTCATTTCTTGGTCCAAAATGTTACTTTTACGTGCAAATTTGCCCCTAGTGGCATTTTCATTGTCAGAGCTGCTGGTAGTGGTGGTCCAACTCCTGCTCCCAGTATCACTGGAACTTTTCGAGTTTCTGAGAAAAAAATTGAGAAATAGGGACAAGTTGAGAACTTAGTTTTGATAAACAGATTGTTTAACAACACTTCTTCTATGACACAGTTTTGTTTCCCTCATCAAGGATGTCCACAGATCACCCAAACCATTAAGTTGAAAATATTCTAGACTTGCAAAACCATTTCTCATCTGTTATTTATTGAAAGATTGTTTACAATAGATTGCATGCCTTTTGTCTTACATCTAGTGGGTGAAAACATAAAGTCATAATCCAAGACGTGGAAGACATTTGTCAGATGCATGCCTCCATCAGTATGACTACAATAAAAAGACTCTTAAACTGTGACCACTGGAATACTTCGTTGGAAATGGAAAAAGATAAATAGGATAAAGACCTTTTAGACTTCCGCCTTGATTTTTTATCAAGTTTGACTTTCCTCCTCTCCTTTCTTCCAACCTTTTTCTTCCCATGTTGATGTCTACCTCTCTTGGTCAACTTCCTTTTCTTCCTCCCTCTTCCATCACTGGAAGAACTTGAAGAATGAGAGTCTGATTCAGAATATGAATCAGAATCTGACTCAGATGAAGCAGAATCAGAATCTGTATCAGAGCTGTATGAATCAGATGAAGAGTATCTCTTTCTTCTCTTTCTCCTCCTATCCTTATGAGATGCTTGGCGTTTCCCTTTTGCTTCACTGTCAGAACTAGTATCGGATGAAAGAGCTCTTGTTGGTTTTTTCTTTTTTCCTGAAGGCATCATGAGCAGAAATATCAAAAGGAAAGGAAAGATGTCACAGCAGTCAAAAGACAACACTTGCCACCTCAGAGCTACCATAATACCTTTCCTTGCTCCAACCGAATCATGTATTTTACTCTCAGGGGTCTCACCACAGTCCACAATTTTCACCAACCCTGATGGTTTACCATCAGCTGTTCCCACCTGTTCAAATTTCTTAACAATGTCCATTCCCTTCACAACCTTTCCAAAAACAACATGTTTTCTGCCACACGAAAATATCAGAAATTCAGCTACAAACACTAGTCCAAGACCCCCAACAAAGAATAAATGTTGGGGATTTGAGGACATTATGAGACAGCTAAATAAGAACAAAATCAAATACCCATCAAGGTGTGGTTGGCGCTTAAAAGTTATGAAGAACTGGGAACCATTTGTGTTTGGACCACCATTTGCCATAGAGAGAAAACCAGGCCCACTATGATCCAGCTTAAAGTTCTCATCTGTGAAATCGAAAGGAAAATTTTGAAGCGGTCTCAAAAGTGAGCCACAACTACAGGAAAAATAAGCACAAACACACACCAAAAAACCTACCAGCAAATTTTCCTCCATAGATGCTTTCTCCACCAGTGCCTGCAAACCACTAAAAGGTTTTGCCTTACAAGTCTGGGCATGACGCCTGAAGTCATATCGAGCATCTGCATCAATTGAAAGTACAAGATCCAGAATAGAGAAAAGCATACCATTTCCTTTTGAAAAGTCACCACCCTGCATGAAAAAGGAATTACATGAGAAAACAGTTTTCCAAAATAGACTTTTTTTTTAAAAAAAATTTCAGTGCGTGTGCTTGTTATCATGCCCTTATAGGCTGGTTGAAGTATTGAGAAAAACTTAATAGACATATCAATGAGCACCATCCCACACATTCTAGTACGAGAAAAAAAGAGAGAAAGAAGCCAACAAATTTAGTAGTCTTATGCCAAGGAAATATTGAAAGTTGATTCCTCAAACAATTGAGATCAATGAACTACAATGCAGAACAAGCTATTTCAACAAAGATATAATTAGGACATAAAGACTACAAGAAATGGGTACAAGCCCCAGATTTAAATAAGAAACATCTCAAAAACATGGAAGCACATGCAGGACATAGACACAGGAACAACAGGCATGAGGAAAAAGAACGTGAAAGAAAACAGAAGAGCAAATTCGTAATTTTCCAAAAAGTAAGACACAGTATGTTAGGACAATCTCGATTATAAACATTATATGATATAATGTACAAGTCTAAAAACCTGTTTGTACCTTGATAAAGAGGCAAGAAAGAACATTGTTATTGATATATATATATATATAAAATCATTAAAAACTGGTAACTTAAAAAGGCTAAAAGAATAGTTAATGAAATTTAATTGACCACATTAGCATGCAAGCATGTGGCAATAGAGATTTCAGTGGTATTGTAAACATTTCTTTATCATTCTCCTTACAATTCCTTTTTTCCCCTTCACTAAATATTTTTCCTCTTTATATTCTCCTATTGTGCAAATTTTTCATATCATATTCCAACCCAGTTTTTATTAAAAATAACTAGCGTTCTTGATTGTGTGGCAACATGTCCTTAGTTAATCGTGGTATCCAAAATGTAACCCACAATTACCACAGACAAAACCCATCCCTTTTTGTTTGCTTTCTAATAGCGCCTAACATTGAGTCGAATTAATTGTGCGACTAGCAACACACATTCAAGCTTCCAAAAATAAAAAAATAATAGTAATATTTCAGAGGCCAGTGCTTGACCATCTTCAACATGCGATGAACATGGACAATCCAGTCCAGAGGATGTCCATGATTTCTAGTCTACAACGTGCCAAGATGAATTTTTTGAAGGCTACAGTTGCTGAACTCACTCTCTGTGACCAAGTATGCTGAAGAGAAACCATGTGTGTACATCTTAAAACAATGTGAACCTTCTCCTTCTCCTTCTCCTTCTCCACTCCCTGGTTTCCCCAAAATGAACCACCGCTCAATGTCTACATCTCATCATCCCTTTTTCAACAAACATAACCACCACAAAGCAGGCTTGAATCCCTTCCACTCGTGCTCTCACGTGTAAGTAAACACACTTTCTCTGCCTCTCTTCAACCGTTGATTGAAATCCTAGAATTACTGCCCTTTCTCCTACAACTAACAGGAGGTAGCCCCATCTATATGATATTGTCCCATATTACGATAGGAGAAACCTATTCAAACCTTGCTGATTGACCACAAATAGCAAGACTTCTTCTCATCATATTAGCGATGAATTATCACTTCTCTGTATAGAAAGCACCTTCACTTCTCATTCCATCTAAGCTTTAATCCATCAAGACCTTCCCCAAGTGCCCTACTTACCTATTAAAATGACTTCAAAGAGCAATCTCCAACTACAGTCACTGCAGCATAATGCAATCCCTTACAACCCCCACAAAATCCAGTTGTTTTCTTGAGAATTTTTTTCAAAAGTTCAGCTTTTGGAAACCAATCTGCTTCTACTTCCTCAAGAGTTCAGCCAAGAAGGTATAGGACATATGCACAGATGGTGGCATCCTCAATTAAAATGAGAACCATACAGATGTGGGAACTGAAAGGCAAGCTACCAGAAACCAATTGGAGTTGATTAATCGTATAAGACAAACAATAAGCAGCAACAGGCACACATGAACAGTTACTGGAGAATTACAAGAAGCCCCACCCAGTATGTTTTCTTTCATGATTAGTGGTCTATAAATGCATAAACAACATACTTGTGCCATAAATCCTTTAATTATGCGATGAAAAATGGACCCCTTGTAGTGTAGAGGTTTCCCTGTTGTGTCTCCAACGCCCTTCTCACCTGCAGAAGAAAGTGCAAAACCATTTAAACCACTGACTGGAAGAATGGTTTCTAAGCATTATTTTAAGAATATATAAACAAGAGTTTTTTGGGGAGAAAAAAAAAGAATACATAAACAAGAGGCAAAAGTGTAAAACAATACATCCACGGTAAAAGATGTCTACATCCACGGGTACACAAAAGAAAGCATACACATTGATATAACAGCTTGTAATCAAATAAAATTCATACCACACTTCAACCATAAATCTATATAGGGGAACTTAATTAATCCTTTTATTAGCACTAATTATGAATGCTTAGGAAATTAATTTATATGTAGTGAACTTCAGCAGGCCTATGTGAGTTTCAATCTCATGTAATCACTCCTTTACAAAATGAATATTTTGCTCTAACTTCATACAAGTACTAAGTAAAATTTGGAAGGGCGATATTTTAATAGACAAGTAGAGCTTTCACATTGTGTCAAAAATTATATACGATAATCTAATGCTTTGACAGTAGATGGAGTAAATAAATCAGAACTAAAGGGAGTTTTTTATCATTTAAAGGAGGGTACATTATTTTAAAATGGTCCAAAAGCAAAAGAAAAACTGAAGTTCATATTAGAGGGGAGCAGTGATGGGAAATCCTAGTAGAGAGATTATATGGAAGACTTTCCAATTTAAATACTTATTTTAGGAAACTTAATTAAGGTTTTATTTTATATTATTTCTTTAGTTGTTTTCCTACTTAAATTAGGTTACTTGGATCTAATCAATATGGATACTTGTAAACTAATTACGTACACGTATACAATATGTACCCAAGTTTGGATACTCTGCGATACGTATTTTATTAATTATTTTATATTTTGTATATTTTTTAAATTTCTGATACATATCGAATACATATTATTTAATTATTTTCAATATGTATCGTATATGTTAGGACACATAAAGAAAATTTTTACTGGTTTTAAACTCTTTTAAAGCTTATTATTAATGGCTATAGATTGTTAAAAAATTTACCTTAATAGATAACTAATATTATTGTCAATTACTTATTGAAAATGGATAAAATTTATTAAAAAAATACATCATTATTGTTTTAATTTAACTAACAACTAGAGTTTTTTTTTATTTAGAAAAACACAATAGTATTAAGGCCCTGTTTGACACCCATTTTTATCAAAATACATTTTTCTCTCTCTTCTTTTTAACCACACATTCTTTATTAAAATAATATTACACGTAAATCAAAAACTTTTTCTTATTTTTCAACCACACATTTCCCATCAATTTACTATTCAAAAATGCATTTTCACATAAAAATTCCTACCAAACACCCTCTAAATCTTTTAATACATGTAAAGTCCTATTAATAGTAGACAAATATATTTTTATTGTTGAAAATAGATAATAGTCCCTTCTTCTACAAATCTCGTTATTTGTTTATTGCATCCCGCGTCAAGCAGCCAACACTTCCCCACTCACTATAAAGCCTCTATGACCGACTTTTTTTATTAAAATTATCCAGGTATGATTTCTAACTCATATACAATCTAGATTCAATAATGTAGTTGTCTACATAAACTTCAATGTTCTTGATATGATAGAGCACACAACTTATGAAAATGTAAATTGATATAAAAATATGTTCATGTTATAGAAATAATAACAACTTTTACATTCCAATTAATTTAAAAATATAAATACAAATGTAAGTTCTAACTCTCATGCCTAGTCCCTGTAACAAAATTATCTAATTGCCTTCTGACATGGAAACCTTATACATGAAAAAATTAATAAACAACAAATTATTTACAACAAAAAATAAAAGCTAACCCACCCCCATTTCTTCCTTCCCACCCCATTATGAAATTTTCATGAGACATTTAATAACTACATTAAGCATATACATTGAGTGATGATAAGGATCTAACTTATCCCTTCACCATAAACTACTTGTGCATGTCAAAAAACAGAGACATAGAAGCGTCACAAATCATTTTATTGGATAGGTACACTTGCACTAATTACCTAATACAGAAAGGAATGGAAAGGAAATGAGCATATTAGGTACACACTAGAAGTCATAAAATTGTAGCAAAAATGATCAAGTTTTTCACTCTTGTACCTGTGCAGAGTGCCCTAAAATTCTCAGCTGTTCTGGGGACAACATCAGCAAACAGCTGCATTTCCACAAAAAGGATAGAAAGAAACAAAAGCATCAAACAAGTATATAAATGAATAATTCTTGCACTGATAGCATCTCAAAATACTGAGGCTTTTAAGATATGGGTATCACCTCAATGACAAGTCTTTCCACAGGATCCCCATCAATGGATACATCCAAGAAGATCAATGGGTTCTTATTCTTATTCATATTTTCTACAGGATTGCTGCAGGTGTTAAAAATTGCCACACTGGTGTTAAATGAATTGTTGAAGTAGCACATCAAGAAATCTTATGTTCTTGCACAATCTGGTCAACGAGATCATACGGATCCAAAAGCATATATTTCAATTTTCAATATTTTATCTTTCGCTAAAAAAATCATGGATTTTTATCTTTTTCTGAAAAAATAACAGTACCCCAAATGTTTGAACGCTAGCTTGAGGTTGTGGGCTGGATAAGGGAATGGAGTTAAATAAATATACTACCAATAAAAGACTATCTTTTGCCAGCAGAAAACAGATAAGTAAACAAAATTTGTGAAATAATTTAAAAATTTTCAAGTTTTGCTTCAATTCACCATGGATCAATATGAAAGGGCAGAAAGGCTATACATCATCATGAGATGACTTGGTGAAGCAACCGATTATAGATTTTGGAAGCTTTAAAAAATAAAAAAATAAAAAGTTAGTTTTTCGAAAATTTTATTAGCTTTCAAATAGTACCGCTCTATAATGCTAATATCCACAACCTCCAATAAGCTCCTAATTTCTACCCAACACAATCTTCCAGTTTAAAAACAGGATGTTCACTTCAATACCATTTTAAAGCTGAGACAGTCACTATTAAAAAAGAAATGCAATCCTAGAATCAAGACACAAGTTGATACTTTTGAATCAGTACTTGAGATCCTGATTATTCTTTTACTTGTATTCCAGCCTTTCCAACCTAATTAGAACATGGAAAATTTATAGTTCATTACATTTCCCCAGACCATATGCAACCATCTCTGACAATTTAGTTATATAATGCCGATGCTAATAAAATGAGGAATTACTATCGACAGTGGGAAATTCATTGAGCGTCAATTGCTGAAGGACAGAGCATTTGCAATACCCTAATAAACTTTTCTTCTTCATCCCCTTGTGCTAATCAGTAAACATTCAAGATTGAAGTGCCTTATGGAAGAAACACACCGCCTTGTGGAAGAAACAAGAATTAAAACTTCCAAGGTTGCAACACTAAACCCATTAGAAGAACAAGACATGCCAATACAAGCCCGTAATAAACTCAAATACACTAATGCTTTTCCAATTCGCAATTTTAAACAGTAGCAATAAAAGTTCGAATAATTTCACACGAAGGAAAAAAAAGGTTATAGAAAAAATTAAGTCCAAGATTGAAGCGTCTAAAATCTACTCCAATTTTGACAATGGAGAATTAAAATGCCACCAAGATTTAATTTTCAATAGACAGATATACAGCAGGGTATGCAGCAGATGGAGCCCAAACCCTAATTCTCCATTAAACATTCAAGAAAAAAAAAGGCGAAGTTAATAGTCTTCATACCACCACCTATATACAAAATAGATAGCAAATTTTACAAAACCCTAAACCCTAACAGTGGAAGGAACCTCATAAAAATGCCTGAAGCATATACCTTGGTATGAGGACTGAGAATAACTCGCTGTCAAGTTGCAAAGAGAGAATTGAAACGTCGGCGGCTTCTCGAATGTGTGTTAATAAACTAGTAGGATACAGCAGAATCCTTCTCTGAGAATTTCATTTTTCCACTTTGCATATTGGTCCTTAATATATTATTCTAATAACAAGTTAGCACTTTATGTTTAAAGAAAATGAGTTAACCTTCTAGAGATTTTTATTCAAATGAGAATATTATTAACTTAATTTTTAAAAAACAACTCCTAAACGAAATCCATCGTACTGATCGTAATAATTAATAAATAGTAATATATTTATTTTTTGGATTGCAGAAAATAAAAATAATCATTTTTTAAAATTATTTTGCTAGTGTCCAAATTACCCATAATAACTTATTTATTTGTACTCTGGAACTGTTTTTTTAATTTTTATTATTCCTTTAATTTATTCACTCTTCCTCAAATTCATTTTTAACTACAAGTAAAATCACTATTCGCAAAATTACTCCTCCGACAATAGGGGCAGACACATTGTGGGTCCTGGTGGGTCACGCGACCTGCCAAGTTTATTTATTTATTTTCATCAGAATAGTCCTATTATAACTGCAAATTTGAAAAGGAAAGCAACCAACCGCCATGCAAGGACCGCCTCACTTGACCTAATCCCTCTCTTGCCTTGAGTATTGTCTGCAATTGGAGTTACTGTCAGACTCAAAGTTATCCGCCATCCTCCATCCGATTGTGTGATCGATTCGGTCAAGCGATGTTACTGTCGATTTAGTCGATTTTTCGAGTGTTGCTTCTGCCGTTTCAATCGTCCGCGATCCACCTCCCATCATTGATAGTTGTCACTGTCGTCCGTAGCCATAGCCGCCCGCTTCCCAGGGACCCAAGGTTAGTACAGATTCTACAGACTTTAGTCTTTAAATTATTTTGTGTTTTGAACTTTTGATTTTATTTACATCTCTTGATCTCCCATTGAAAGACGTGTTTGGAAAAATGACAACTTCTTTTAGAGGATAGGGTTCATAACAGTAGCCATTTTTAAAAAATGGACTAGACTCTACAGTTCCTTTCTCTATAAAAATAAAGAGCTTTTCTTCTCAAAAATCTCTCATAGCACCCAAAGTTCCTAAATGTTAACGTACCAGTATCAAGCCATCGTCGAGTATAGTATAGCGTTGTTATCTAAAGGATCTCACAGCACTCAAATCCCCTTTGGACTTGACTATTTTTTATCTGTTTAAAGAATTCTTTCCTGAGCTCAGAATTAGGGTGTAGTCAAGGAGATAACTCTCGAGGAGAGTGATTTGGCCAATCTCCACAGTAATGGCTTTACTACAATCCTTTCCCATCATTCCCATAGTCACAAGGGAGAACCCAAGCCGGTCGAGTATAGTATAGCGTTGTTATCTAAAGGATCTCACAGCACTCAAATCCCCTTTGGACTTGACTATTTTTTATCTGTTTAAGGAATTCTTTCCTGAGCTCAGAATTAGGGTGTAGTCAAGGAAATAACTCTCGAGGAGAGTGATTTGGCCAATCTCCACAGTAATGGCTTTACTACAATCCTTTCCCATCATTCCCATAGTCACAAGGGAGAACCCAAGCCAAGTGGCTTGAATCCTAGCTTTCCCCCTTTCAACTAAAAAACTTTTGGCCTTACCTTTTGATGTAAAGTTTTCCTTCATATATCCTAAATGTATGGTTCAAGAATCAAGACCAATTCTAGTAACTAAATTAACCTCTTCTTCATTCGAAATCTTGTTTCGGGTCTTGTATAATTTTTATTGCAACAAGTCAGTCTTCTTGACAATTAGTTATGGTGAAAAGTGAAATCTAAATATATAGTTTGTGATTTGGAAATCTCTCTGAATTTGTTGAATTAGGAATGTAAATGTTAGGGATTAAATATGCCTGGAGCAAATCTGAGTAAAATGATTTATGATTTGTGAATGTCTATCGATTCATTGAACTAGCCAACTAGGTGTGTAAATGTTAGGGATTGAATGGAACCATTGTTTGAATTTGTTTGGGAATTTGGAATTTCATCAAAAATTAAAATAAAGACAACATTATTCAGCAGCATTATCAAAGAATGAGAACTTGTAGACAGCAATTGTAATAATTTATCTAATATTTAAATTGTTTCATCACTTTTTGGAAAGTTTGAGTGTGCCCCATTAACAAAAAATGTCTGTGTTCGCCATTGTCCGACAATTAATATCAGGTGGGTGCTTAATTATGTTCATATGACCTCTTTGATTGGTGGCTTTGTAGTATTCAAATTCTACTCTCCGATGACAAGATGTTTGATCAGATCAATATCTATATGGGTGCTACTATTAGGGGAAGGATAATAAAAGAGGAATATTGCTACTTGTACATCAAGTGACGTTCATCTGGATGTCCACCCCCCATATGGAGGAAGACTTACTTTGAATAAAATATTATTTATTTTAAAATGGATTCTCCTCCATGTGAGGGGGTGGATACATGTAACATCACCCATAAAAGAGAGGGATAGTGGGGAAAAGACACATGCAAGAATGTGTGCATGAACAATGGAGAGGGTTAAGATAAAGGTACGTGTCACATCTACATTAACTTTTGCATTAAGTTTGACATTTTTTGACATGAAATTCATCATAGTCACTGATTTTTTACAACATCTTTAATATCATTGGCTAAATATTGACACATAAGGGAAATGCCATCCGTTATATCAACAATAATGTACATCTAAATTTATTCTAAGAAAATGAGAGAATAGAGCGACAAAGTGATAAATAGTACGGGGAAGATGTGTGAGAAGTGGGAAAGTTACATTCCCGATTGAGCCACATTATTATAAAAATGAAAAATATAGTCGTCATGGACCCCACACAAGAGATAAAATGTTAAATATAGTAGTTTGATGTGATGGATAACGGTCACATTTTTAATTTTAACGAGGAAAAAATGGGGCTCAAACAGGGTAATATCTTGTTCTCAAACTGTAGTTTTCAATCAGATCCAAAATTTGACGTTTAAACTTTCCTTTTTCTTTTATTTATTTTGTAAAATCATTTGAAAGGAAAAAATAACAACTAAAATAATTTATTTGTAATAAAATACTGCATGGATTTAAGACATTGGATTATGCTTGGATTCACTTGACCAGACAATACATTATCCAGGATTTTTATCTTAAATTTCCAAAAAGTAAATTGATAATATTAGGCGACGAAATATTTTAGGGTATTATATCCTTTCGCTCTTAATACAGTTTCGTCCTCGAAATTACATTAGCTAAGTGGAGTTATGGATGCTTCATTCATCCCTTCTCTTTTTCAAATAGATTCTTTTGCTCATCGATTTTTTCACCAAATTCTACTACAATTTCTTTATTTCTTAAAACATGGATTTTCCTTTCAAGAATAACTATAAGTACTTCATAAGACAAATATTCATTTACACCCAACAATTGGTAGTTTACCACACACTTCAGGTCGTACACATACTTTCTGAGCATTAAAATATGAAATACATTGTTCAATGCTATCAGATCAGATGGCAATGTAAAATAAATGCCACATTCGCAATTCTATAAAATTTTCGAAAAGACCTATAAATCAAGATTTCAACTTTCCCTTCTCATCAAATTTGAGAAAAAAAAGGGGGGGGGGGGGATTAGAGCATCCTTTAACCTTTGTATATATATACCAAACTAAAAGAATTGTACATTACACAACAAAAAATGGAGCAGCAAAATGCCCATTGCTGGAATGAAGGTATCCCAAAAAGGCCCACTCAATACGAGTCATCCATTCTTAAAAGTTAGTTTGGATAAATTTGAGCCAAAGATCCATTTCTGCAAACACTTCTATACACTGTCACATACCTTTTCACTATATACAAACCTGAAGTCAAATCTCCTCCGCTAATCACGAAAAATGAAAACAATTTGCAACTATCAATATTCCAAATCCCACTCTCGAAGCTGTAAGGAGCACTTGCAGCAAGGGGAAGTCTTGTGCTTCACGGGATTATAGCACTAAGCCATCCACTTCTTTGATGAATGCAAGAACTCAATCCGAATACCTCCCAAAAAATTGTCAATACCCTTTATCCCTTTGATCATCCCTGATTAATTGAAGATCTCAAGCTTTCATCTGGTAATGTCCATGAAATCAGATGGCCACCAGAATCCCCGCTCAACAACTGCTTGAGGTCGCCAGAAAGACGGAGGGCAGTAATGGGAAACTTATGAAATTTTAAAACCTTATGTAGGACCAATCTGTACTCGGGAACTTTACCTCCAAGCACTAGCCCTCCTGTCAAATTTTCAGTCTGTTTGATTTGGGCAGACTCCTTGCTCGAACAATGAACCATTTTCCAGACCTTGACGGCCCCACTCTGGTGACCAGAGACATACCAGTTGGTTTCCAACCAATCAGAGAAGGTAGAACCCGTGAGTGAGAGAATGAAGTCGGATGGAAGTTGTGATGTATTGACCACTGCAAGACAGTCCCCGTTAATGCTCCAAACAGAAAGCATTACGCCAGCTGCAGTCACGATTTCCCCTGTCTCATCGTTCACACATATAGCAGAAACAGGTGAAGGGAACTCAGGAAGTTGCTTAATAAAAGACAAAGAGCTAAGATCCCATATGATAGCAGTACAATCATCAGATCCGCTCACAACCATCATGTAAGGCTGGCTAACATGAAGGCACGTAATTTTACCCGAATGGGCACAGAGAGCCTTCTCTAACTGCAGGTGCCGAAGAACACAGGGTCCATCTTTTGCAATTCTCCAAACACAAACCAAACCATCATCCGCCCCCGTAACTAAAACCTGACCATCATAGCTTGCACTAGCACACTGGATTTGGTTGCCTCCATGAAGATTCTCGTGGGTAGAAAGAAGCCTATCTTGATCATAACTCACAAATCTCAAGCTACGATCAGGAAAACCCCATGCAACATATTCGGTAAAAGTTCTGGGTTTCAACAAGTTATTTGTACCAGCCATTAAAATCTTGTCTCCAACAGTCACAATTTGAGAAATAGAAGACGAGCTCTTACGAATCTGATGAGGTACAAGAAACA